CCATATCCGAAGATTTGTGTTGTTGAACTGAAAAACCTTTTACTCTGCTTTTATCTGAAATGAGAGAATCTTTCAAGCAATTACAACATCGGACCCCAATTTTCCCTAACCCCATTACTTTACACTGTACACCTCGTTACTTAACACCTCACTACTAAACACCCTGTTACCGAATGTCTGAATGCTGCCGAATGTTAACACCCCATTACTTAATGTGCCTTTACTGAATACTACATTACTTAACACCCCATTGCTTTTCCCCGCTGTTACTGAACACCCCATTACTAAACATCCGGTTACCAAATACCCCATTACTTAATACCCCATTACTTAATACCCTATTACTAAACACCCTGTTACAGAATACCCCATTACTTAACATCCTATTACTAAACACCCTGTTACAGAATACCCCATTACTTGATGTCTCATTACTTAACACCACATCACTCAACACCATATTACCTAACACCCAACTCCTTTTCCACCATTACATAAGACCCCATTACAGAATACCCCATTACTGAACACCCAGAATACCCTATTACTTAATGTCCCATTACTGAGTTTTTTTCACTAGCCAGAGGATCCCAAGATGTCATCCAGCCATCTCCTGAAAGCAGCCCTGGAATCAGCTCGTTCCGGAGTCCCACCACTCTTTGTGTAAAGAAGTGCCTCCTGATCTCAGTTTCACATGCACTGCCACATCGTCTCCCCTGGTGTCCTCTGGGTCGTGTGTCACTGTGGGAGAAACACCCAGTTGTACGAACTGGGGAAGCCTCTGCAGCGGCGCTGGGCTCGTCACGGACACTGTCCGACGCGCAACCGCAGCACGCCCTGGCTGTGCATGCGCAGCAGCCTCAGGAACTCCTCGGGCATGGCGTGCATGCCCCTTTTCGGCGGCACGTCGTCGTAGTAATGGTTGGACAGGGGCCGCTCCGAGAGGTCGAAGGAGAAGGGCCAGAAGCCGTAGAGCTCGACGCGGTCGCAGAGCTCCAGGGCCGCGCTCACCATCATCAGCCCCGTGGAGAGCCGCGTCTCCCGCAATCCCTTCTCCCGCCAGTAGATGGCGAGCTGGCGCAGGTAGTCCGGGTGGTAGAACAGCGCCCTCTGGTGGGGGCGGTTGTCCTGCAGGGTGTAGTACACTCGGAAGGAGGGGTCGGTGCAGCTGGAGTAGGCGAACGCCGGCAGGACCAGGTGGGCGTTCTTGTACGTGGACACTCTCTGCACAAAGGGCCTCCTGGCGTAGTTCAGATTCCTGTAGCTGCAGATGGGAGGAACCACATTTTTTAGGGTCCAGACACTTGGATGAGCTGGGCCATTTGCATTGTAGAACACAGTGCTATGGAGATCATCAGCATGAGAGCTCAGCGCTGTGGAGATCATCACCATCACAGCTCAGTGCTGTGGAGATCATCTCCATCACAGCTCAGCATTGTGGAGACCATCACAGCTCAGTGCTGTGGAGATTATCACCATCACAGCTCAGTGCTGTGGAGATCATCATTAGAGCTCAGCACTGTGGTGATCATCACCATCACAGCTCAGAGCTGTGGAGATCATCATCACTGGAGTTTAGCATTATGGAGATCACCAGCATCAGAGCTCAGCACTATGGAGATCATCACCTCCAGGGTCTGGTGCTGTGGAGATCATCAATGTCAGAGCTTGTGGCGGGGTAAAGGGGTTAATTTACAATCCAAGAACTGGGCTCAGTAGCTGTTGGTGTCTGGAGGAGTGGGGCTGAACATGCAAACATGTAAACAGTGCCAGAGCACCCAGGTGACACAGGGCTATGGGGGGCATGTCCACAGCTGTACAGCGACTTCCTGAGATACAGTTACTGTACCTGTTGATGATCTGAGAGGGGTTGACTGTCACCAGGCTGGACTTCACCCCCACGTCCCTGCTGTAGTTCAGGGGGGGCAGATTGAGCCTGGAACATGGAGAGGGAGAGTGAAAGCTCAATTCTGGGACGCCGTCATACTGAATTCCAGGAAAGTCAGACACAGCTTCCCTCTCAACCCCAAACATACCACACCAACTGTGTTTGACTCAACCATTCCGCATACAGTTTGTGATTCCTGCTGGGAATCCAGCCAGATCATGATACAGCCGATTCCTGTTGGCAATCCTGTCAGACTGTGGTACAGCTGATTCCTGTTGGGAATCCTGTCAGACTGTGGTACAGCTGATTCCTGTTGGGAATCCTGCCAGATAGAGGACCAGGACTGAGGAAACCAAAGACCAGTGGTCCACTCCTAGCCGGCCCGTGTTGTCTGACATTTGATCCAACTCGAGTTTCTGGTTAGCGTAGAACCAGTCTTAGTTAGCTGGTCTAATTATTAACATTAACAGCATAATTGTTAACACTTCCAACCAAGACTGAAGGCGACTGCACTTTTATTGGAGGGTATTTTTTCTGTAATCAACTGTAAAAGACCTTAAAAGACTTAAGTTAATTTTTGGATTGCCTGCAGAGGCTGGGTCAAAGACCGGACCCCCCAGTGTGACACCCTGCCCTGGACAGAAGATGCGTGGCCAGGACAGGAGCAGGAAGGCGCCCGGTACCTGATCACGAAGTCAGCCCGGTCGATGTGGGCCCCGCAGCTGCTGTTCCGCAGAATCCCTCCGTTCCCCACGACGGCGCAGCGTCCGAGCCGAGCCCCCGGCCCGCCGGCCCAGGGGGGGCTCTGAGGGGAGAAGGGAGCGTCAGGGTTGGGAGCAGAGGCGGGGAGCCCGCTCTAAAGGCGCTGCCGCTGTCTGAGGAAACCTGGCTGCAGGACCCAGTCTCATTGCTCCGGGAGCAAGGTTTGAACCCCTTATAGAGCTCTGTCTGTAGTCTCGGTGGATCTACCAGACATCCGAGGTATTGGATGAGGTATTATTAATGATTAAACTGACCATTCTCCATAGTTTAACTGCTCCATGGTCACGTGAGCCTATACCAGCTAGCAACGGGCACGAGGCAGGGTTCACCCTGGACAGGATGCCAGTCCACCACAGGGCGCACACACACACACACACACACACACACACACACACACACACACACACACACACACCAGGGCCAGTTTTCCCAGCAGCATGTCCATGGACTGAGGGTAGAAACGCACTTGAACATGGGGAGAACATACAGACTTCGCACAGACAGCACCCCAAAAACTGAACTCGGGGCCTCAGGGCTGCGAGACATCACCAGTGTGCCACCATGCCACCCGGTATAGAACAAACTGATATTCAATTTCTGTAATTTCTGTATGACAAACAACCTTTTCGAACCCCTCCAATCCCCTTCTGTCAACTTCACAGCACAGAAACTGCCCTGGTCAAAGTCACCAATGATCTCCTAATAGCTTCTGATTCTGGTTCTCTTTCCATACTCATCCTTCTTGATCTCAGTGCTGCCTTTGACACTGTTGACCATAACATCTTACTTTTCGTCTCGAGACTGTGTTTGGAGT